TGTTTGATAGAGAACTGATAAGACCTTTTGTTACATAAAGGCATGAGGGAGAACAAGCTGTGTCAAGCAAAATGCATCCTATCAGCCTTTCACTGACATCCCAAATTCATTCCTTATGTAATTGATAATGGCCTTAGCCAATTATTTCACACATTACAATACACAGAGGTCCATTTTACAGGTTTTGCAGTGCTGTAATTAGCTATGCTAATATCTCATTTATTGGTCTTAATATTGCTGAACACCTTTTGCCATCCTGGAACCCACTAGAGCCCCATGGCCTGTCAGGATGGCTGATTATTGAGAAAGATAGCTTTAATCAAACATAATTGCAGTTAATTTTTTTTCTCTCTCTCTTCCTCTCTCTCCGTTGCCAGCATCTAATGCCACGGACTTCTTGATATTCCATTAAATTACAATTAAACAGCCTCCTTTGTTTCTGATTGTCCTGAACAACACCACAAACTTCTGTAGCCGTTTAAAAGAGAGCTGTTTGGTGGTAATTGCTTCCCAGCTCGCAAAGGGCCAATTTACACAATACCCTTGTAGAATTTAAACAGCTCATAATGTAATGGATATTACACCGGAGCCTCACACTACAATTAAAATGATTTTCATCCGATAGGGAAGCTTTGTATAATCGGCTTCATAAAAGTAAATATAAATGAACTAATTCATGGCTGTAAATACACAAAAATGGGTCGGGCTCTGGAAATGCCTTGAGTGGCCTCAAGGTTCCAGGAGTATGGGTTAGAGGGGCGCTGTAATGTGTCCACTGCGTGGACATGTGCTGTATGTGCCCTCATTATTCCTATGTGCAACAGCAGTTATGTGCTTTAACCCATAAGCTGTAATGGATGAATAAGCATCAGACTTGTGATTGGTTGCTCTGAGGTTGTGCCCATAACTGCATTTTTTAACAGTCTCACAAATACTGAAAGTGCATATTTTTTTAGCTAGAGTTGGGAAGGGTTAAATTCCCTAGTCAGTTTATTTTTGTAATGTCTGCGTCCCATTGGGGACATTTTGCTTCACTTCCTGTCCTGGAGACAAAAGAAAGTGAGAATATACCTCTGAAAAAGGGAGGTAATTCCCCCTCTTGTGCTACTGGAAGATTTACCCTCACCTCTGAAATGATGTTTTTAGTCCAATTCCATGAAGTTACCCTATGGAAAACAACCAGATACAGGTACATTCAATGGGAAACATACTGTGTATACGTGTGTGTAAAATAAACTAATATACTGAGAAGCCATAGAAATAGAAACCATGTCCCTGCAGAAAAAAATGGGCATAACCTTGCCCTTCCATATGTGGGATGATATCCCAGTTTGTTGCACTTTTTTGATTATGTAACTTCTACCATGACTTGACTTTTTGGTTCTTAAGTTCCTGTCCCATGACAAATGACATCATTGATGACATCAAGAGACAGAGAATGGCTGCTTCCAACAGATACTTCTCAGATGTGTATTTTGCTTTGTGACAGACTTTGTGTTTTGTATAAATAGAGAGAAAAGGGAAGATTTTGTTATCAACTTTTTAACTTTGCCCCTTTTTATTTTCTGTAAACAATGACCTCCTTCTCTGCTCTAGCTGTACTTTTCCTCAAGAAGGCTTTTCCTTAGCTTGTGCCTTACAGGGAAGCCTAGAGACACAAGTAAATAAAGGCTGTATTTCAAGGCTGATTTATTCTACCTACTGTGAAAGATTATGACTCTTTAGGGAAATACAGACAGGGTCAGGGAATTAGTATACATAATGGTCATTTTGATAATGGGCCAACAGATGCAAAGGGAAACATACTGTACACAATTACGTGTAATGCACTAATGACAGGTTGGAATTTGTATCGCCTCCCCTCTACTGAGTCACAAATCCATGTTTAGTAGTAATACACACTTTATTGGTGAGCAGACAAAGATTTTCTGACACAAGGCTTTTTTTTCATCTTCTTCCTCTCCCACTCTTCTAACAAGAGCATTAAATCCTTTGTGTGCCGGGGTCTGGGGAAGAGATATGTAAAGGCGCTTGTCAGATATTTTCTAAGAAAAAGCCAATTAAAGGGTAATAGAGCAAAGGATGAGAATTACCATTTGACTTGGAATGAGTGAATCTCTACGACTTGTATCTCGGCAATGGAATTACCAGTCAATGAATAACCATGTCCTAAGCTACTTGTACAATTAACCCTTCCGTTGCCGGGGTTCTTACTGCAATAGCATTTGTTTTTTTTTCATATATAAAATAAACTGGGGTCCTTGGCTTTTTGGCCTCTGTCTAAAAAGCAGTCCCATTACACATCCCATTCTTGAGCTAGATATAGACATCAGACTATGATTAAACATATATGCATGATCTAAACATCTCTCAATGGCTGCAAGAAAGGCTCCAGTCACTCAAGCATTCCCGATCATGCATTGTAGCAGGGCAGCATAGGTATTGCTTGGAGAAGGGGGGGGAGTGGCTTGTGCCTTTTTGGCCATGTTTCTCTGAGGCAAACAGTAGCACTTGGATTAGGTTTTCTAAACTTTAGAACAACAATATCTAGGATTGCCTGATCTTCCTCTATTAGCATTACTGTTGTCCAGTCAAATTGACTAAAATTCAGATTAGGAGGCCATGCAATGTCTGTGGGCATGACTGTGTAGCCTACAGGTTGCTTCCATAGCAGAGGTGTCTAAAATGAATAAACATTTATTTAGAATTACATTAGGTTCAACTGTCATTAGGTATCCTGTCTTTATTTAAACCTTACTTTGTCATCCTAAATTATTATTACATTTTTGCTGTCTTTGCGTGTTCACACAGTACGGGGCCTGTGCATGCTTGTATTTTGTATATATTTATTGATGGAGAAGGTCTTAAGTTGACTGGGCCAACTGGCGGGTCGCCGATGACTTTTGTCATCGCTAATAACTGCTTGGCTATCAAACATCAAGGATGGAAGACAGTAGTCATACAAGGTCCACTAGGGCTCCTCTATGCCGCCTATATCCCATTGCTTCCATCAACACTAGCCATGCCCTTGCACCCGACACTGGGTTTGAAACATAGGTCTTAGGTGTTTGGATCTGCTTATGTATAAGCAGCTGTAAACGGTTCACAAAGTTTGCATCGAAGCACTTGTTAAAGTCTTTGGATACGTAGAGGGGTTCACATGTCGAGCCTAACATCAGATAAGCGGTGGGAAACACTTGCCCATTCTTCCTGCTAAGCGCTAGTAAAATGATTTAATCAGAAAGGCGCAGCAGCTTGTAACATGCATAAGGTAAGGGCTTAAGAGCAGAGCCATTTGCAGATGAACCGCTTTTGCTAGCTTCTCACAGACATGACATTTGTTCAGAAGATTAGCCCGCTTGTAATGTGTGGCATAATTGCGCTGCGCGGATGTCCCTGAAGTGAGAACCTAATTGCTTGACAGGACTATAAGTTTGAGGCACGTCCTCACCTTGTTAGGTCCTCTCTCTCTCTTTCTGATGCTGTTCAAATGAAGTCTGGCCGCAGGTGCGCCTAATTTACCTCACAACACAACGTGGGCTGCGTAATTGCAGGCTAGTAGTTAGAAGAAATTGCTGGGTGGAATATCAAGTGACTTACTGTATGCTGATGGCATATGACTGTTTGTGTGCCATTGTCAAGGCAGATGTGCACAGGTTTTTTTTTTCGTCTTTAAAACTTTAAAGGATCTTGAATGCTAAAAGTACCACCAAACCTGATAGTATAAACGTATGCAATATGAAGGATCAATGTTCATTAATATACACTAGCAGTACATTAAAGATATTTTGTAACAAAAAATTCCTAGTGCTATGTTTTTAGCAAAGAGCACCTGTCTAGCCTTTCTAGTTTAAAAATAGAAGTCTTAGTTTGCATATATTTTTAGGCTGTGTCTCGTGCAATCCTGTTGTAATCAAAGCGCGCACCAACAATGGGGCATGTACTATATTATTCTGTTTGTCGTTCTTAGTATATGCACATGAAAACTGGTCAGCATAGTTTGGACTTTTCACGTTCACACAGTACTAGGAAGTTTAGCGCTGCTCTTGGTTAAGCATGCTGTTTGTCTAAATAAATTTGCGGCATGTCCCATTGTTGGCACTCTCCCTGGTTAGGACAACACTGCACGAGACAGAGGTTCATTGATGCCACATACAGCTACCATGATGGGCAAAAGAAGGTTACTGAAGAGGAAGTGAGCTGAGTGTTATGAACATGTTTCTCACCCTTTTACCATTTTTAAGCAGAACTCCAACCAAAAATCAATCTCAAGTGCTCAGTTAAATTTTCTCATGTATATGAATCTACTTATAGCTGCGAGCACTCCAATATGGAATTCATGCTTACCCTTCTGATGGGTAATTTTAGAAGAAATGACAGGTGACATTGATCTTCCCCAGACTGCTGACTTGACAATAAATGAGTATCACATTGATGGGGGGTACACTCTTAAAAGTTTTACACCCATAAACATGAAATACTCTTAATCAGCTTGCTTTTCATATATACTTGTTCTCTTATTTTTGTAAAAGTGCTACACCTAACACATGTAGTATGTATATAAAAACATCTATGCCTGAAAGGAACATTCTGTTGTTTTATATGTGTGTGTTTATATAAGGCTCACCAGTGATCAGTCAAAACTGATATTTCACCTAGTGTTTGGAACACAGCAGTAAGATGCTGGACCCAACCATGGGCCCTGACTTTTACCTATTGTGTTCTGTATAATGTAAAATATCAAGAGGGAAATCCCTCTCCTTATGCCCGTCATATATGCTGACTGGGGAACTCATTGCTGGGATCCAGTGGCAATGGGTGACCGGACCCACTATAAGCAGCTATGAAAAACTGAAATATTAGTTTTGGATGGGCTGACCCTTTATGTAACCACGTGATTAACCTTTCCCCCCCAAGTTCTATCCTTTTTGATTTGACTGTCTCATATTTATAACATATATTAAATATTTTCCCCTCTCTCTTTCTCTTTTTCTCTGTAGATTCTTCCTAAAGTTTTTTCTCAAGTGTAATCAGAACTGCCTGAAGAATGCAGGGAACCCAAGAGATATGCGAAGATTCCAGGTACTCTGAAGGGAGACAGCCTGGCAATGACATTGTAATGACACAAAAACATTGCAGTTAGACACAGATTTGCTGCCACAATCATTGTTGATTTGTTCATGGTAGCACAACAACACCATAATAGCGTATTATGTAAAATAGTGTCCAGGAAGAAGCCTTGATAGTTCAGCAGCTTCAACCTTCTGCCAGGTAGTGATGGGCTGTTACCTCTCATGGAACAATGCAAAACTTTGTGAAACAATGGTTTATGTGGGGCATTGATATCCACTATAGAGGTACTTTTATACAAGGACCATGTTTTGCTGCATTGACTATGTGAAGTACAGAAGGAGGCCCTCTCACTCTTTCAGTATTGGTCCTCATTTGCCCCTTTTTCTTCTTAACACTCCCCACTTTATCTGACACTTTCCAATTTACTGGATACATATCTTAAATTTGTAACAGTCTATAAATAAATAATTCACATGGCCATTGCAGGTTGGCCATCCATGTAGACCATGTAAAAATGCTATCAGCCAATCAAAACAATATGCCTGAGATTTTTTTAATTGGCTAAAGGAATTTTTACATGGTCTACATGGATGGCCAACATGCATTAGTCTTCATCTGTTTGACATTTTAAGGTTTCAAAAAAGTGGTCCCATAAGATGACATTATAAATGGTTAAGTATTTACATTAAATACATTATATTTATATACATATTTACATATACAGGTATAGAACACCAGTCCAAAGAAACATTCCAATCCTGGCATCCTTGCTATTGCCATGCTGAGTGCCTTAAATAGCATCAGCCAGATCAAAAATAACTATATAAATGTAGATAGATTTGTTGTCAGCTCATCTCTTGTTGGATATTCAGCTACATTTCTTCTCGTTTGTTTTCCTAGCTGTAATTTATACATCTTTCAGTTAAGACTTTATCTTTTTTTTTTTTAAAATAGATAAAAACACACTTCGGCACACTCCAGTGAGCCTCTATTTCTCATGGATCTGAGCATCAAGTGCCATTGGTAATATTGATCCATGTGCGCAGAGCAGAAGGTCAAGCCTGGGATGACTAGAAGTCTCCTCTTTGTCTTACTGATGCTTGTGAGACGCATCACTCACCCATGATTCTGTGGTCAGCGGCAGAACTGCTAGTTAGCAAAGGGAGAGGTATGCAGTACATTACTGCAGCCTTATAGCACCGCTTTTATATTTTCCTTTTTACATTTGAAATTTATGGCATAAAAGCAGTTGTGTCGGACTGCCAGAAGGTTGCATTTAAAGGATACTGGTAAGAAAAGAGTTAATGCGGAACAAGTTTCTCTTCTTATTTTTTCGGCTGATCTGTTATTTTCCCCTGGTGGCTGACCTATATATAAATTGACACAGCAAAGACAGTCATGTTTTCTCTGTCATTTTTTTTTCCTTGTGTTTCATACAGTGAGGAGTGGAGTAGCAGCTTAAACGCTCAGTGCACTTTAGTATGGAAAGCAGTCTTCCTGTATTTTTTTTGCACTCTGTTATTCACTATAGCAACACAGCATTGAGGATGCTGACCTCTCTCAAATCTCCAGCTTGGTTTACAATGCCCCCCTCCTTACTGTATTGTCTTATGTTTATTTTTGACTCTTAATCACCCTTGAGCAGTTTTCAAGCTGTGAAAGAAACACATGGACTAGAAATTGGAAAAACTGATAATGCGTACATGAAAAGTAGGAATCACATACACGTTTAGATGCATCGTCCAAGTAATCTTTTATATGGCAGCATGCAAAACGCTTTATCTTTAAAAAGTATTCACATAATCAGGCACCCAACAGATTTTATCTGAAATGGCCTGTATGGTAGATTACAAACCAGTGTAAAAGTGATCTCCCTGAGTTAGGGTAATAGCAGGTTAGAGACACATGATATTTACTACGAGAATACAGACAATATAGACAGTCCAGCCTCTTTGTTCCCTTGATACTCTCACCTAACTGTTAGCATGCCACATGGCTCCATCAGAGGCACATATGGCTGGTTTCAGCTTATGGTTACCCCTCCCACCAAAGAGGTAATCTTTAATGACACTTTCTCTGTGGTGTTGATAAAACGATAAAATAAATAAAGCTTATTAGTGAACATCTTTCACACCATTTTTTGTTATTTTGGCATTTATTATACGCCTTGTGAATAATCCTCCTGGGTAAAAACAAAACAAAACATGGCAACACTCAAAGTAAGCAATTGGTTTCTTTGCAGTGTTTGCTGTACGTGAAAGCTTGTTTCCACAATTATACCCGATTATTTATATTGGTAAACTTAATTTGTATTCTTATTTACTTTCAGTTATTATATTAGACTTACGTTTAATACAGTTTACATAAAATGTGTCCATTTGCATCAGCCTTTGTCATGGTGAAGCTTACACTCCAAATGTCCCTTCCACAGTCTCATGAGAAACCCCACATCAGAATCGGCCTACTTGATAGCCCAGTTTAATCTTCAATTTTTTGAAAATGAGGATTAATATTGGTAAACTGATTTTTTCTTTTTATTAGGGATGCACCGATACCACTTTTTTAAGACCAAGTACGAGTACCGATACTTTTTATCAAGTACTCGCAGATACCAATTACCGATACTTTTTCTTAAAGGGACAGGTCACATTTTTTCTAAAGCAATACAAACTAATGCTTTATGGTCACTTTCTTAATATTATGATTCATGAGATGACGAGGGAGCATGACGCCGGCTTCGCGGCCAATCAGAATGCCGGGCGCTGCGTCATTACACGGCGCCCGGCTTCCGGATTTGCTAGCTTCCTGACCAATCGGGAAGCCGGGCAGCGCGTCATTGCACGCTACCCGGCTTCCTGATTGGCCGGGAAGTTGGCTCCATGCTCTCTCATCACAAGTGACGAGAGAGCATGGAGCCATTTCCTGGCCAATCAGGAAACCGGGCAGCGTGTAATGATGCACTGACCGGCTTCCTGATACAGGAAGTACTCGTGCTAGGTATCGGAGCATTTGGGCGAGTACGAGTACTCACCCAAATACTCGGTATCGGCACCGATACCGATACTAGTATCGGTACTGGTGCATCCCTACTTTTTATATTTACTTTCAGTTACTATAAGTCACTTAAGTTTTACACAGTTTACATAAAATGTGTACATTTGCATCAGCCCTTGTCGTGGTGAAGCTTACACTCCAATGTCCCGTCCACAGTCCACACATCGGAATCAGTCTACTTGGTAGCCCAGTTTAATCCTCAATTTTTTTTATTACTCAACTCCACCAATTTAATTGGTGTAAATGGTGTAAATAACTGTCACTGTCCTAGAGCATTTTTGACTGAGCCCTAAAAACCCAAGCCCCAAAAACATCATCTAGTGACGGTAGCGACAAATGAAACCTTGCTGAAAGATGTATAATGCCATGCCTGATGTGGTCCGCTATGAAGAGGGAGGATGACGGTCATGAAGTCAGTACTGGAGGTGTTATTTGTTAACAAGGTTGCGATGTGTAAATGTGCGCTCTGCTCTGCAGCAGCTGGAGTATAAGAGGGCCCTATCCATCATTTATTCTATGGCCTCACTCTGAACCTGGCCTGCAAGAATAGAACTCTTTCACTCTCATATAAAGGAGGAAATTCCATTGACATACCAAGGTCAATCACCATCCAAATGAACTTGAGAATGGATACTTTTTTCAGGGCCTGAAAACACTTTCACTATTCATTTTCCCATTCAAGATTTTCATATGCAAAAACATCATTATTAGTTGGTTAACTAATTGACAGAGGTCTTGACAGTAATTAAAAGACTTCAGATTCATTTTTGGCAGATAGAAGGCTTTGAGTCTTAGCAGAGTTTCTTGTTCATTCATAAAGAAGTAATATGAACATTCTGCGAACTGAACGGATCCTTGAGACCAACCATGTTATGTTAGTTTTGCATCGACCTGTATGTTTTGAGGCAGCCAAAGATATAGTGATTGTATTAAATAATCAGTCAATTATATTGATATATAAAAATTGTAGAGTGTGCACTGTAGAACAAAAGCTGTCCACATATTAATATCAGAGCTGGGCAATCATAGTCATCAATGTACCTGAATAATGATGGCTGGGGCCTAACTTTCTTTTACCTTGTTACCAATGGATGCAGATGTTTCCTGGTTCCTTACAAATGGCTACTTGCTCCCAGAATACACTGACAGGCTAATGAACTGCACTTGTATGCATCCACCTCTGCTTTATGTGATTTAATTGTCTTACTGTATGACAGGCCATCAAAATGTGGTTACATATTACCAGTCCATTGAGCTTCTCCTTTGGCATTTTAGTTCACTAGGATGATTCGAAGTGAAAAATGACATTTGTCCATTCCAAATAATTTGCTAGTAGCTTAATGGTTTGCCATGTTTAGTCACTTTCCCAATGCAGGTTGCTTGGCCTAGAGGCCACACATGAACTTTAAGTAATTCGTCCTGCATGTGTGATTTAAATAAAAAGACAGTTCTGAATAAAATTATTTTGTGCATGCAAAGTGATGCTTGCCCATCCTAGTTATGTTAAAGTCCCGGCTACATTTTAGGACCATGGTTTTCCACACACGTGAGCTACAGGTAAAGGTTTGTGCCACAAAAGACCACATATGTTTGTAAGCAAATGTGTTGACCAGAAAGCATCTTTCGACCCAAGAGTATCAAAGAGGACCTGCAATGTAGAATCATTTCCCAAAATGACAAAGTACAAGTCACTGCATTGCATGTCTCCCTGCAGCTAATCTTTTTGTCCATTACGGACTTACCATGCCTTGTTCTGCACTGTGTCTCTGTGTGCAGGTGGCCATCTTAGTAGAGGCAGGACTTTTCTCAGAGCTATTTCCCTGGTGACTGGTGGAGTATTATTCAAGAATCGACAAGAAAGTTACAGAAATTACAGATCCACAGAATGAATAAATGAAGCAGGGAGATCCTTGCAGTGCTTGTCCGCCGATGCAGCTTCCTCACCAGTAGAAGAGTAACAGTGAGCAGCACAGTAGTAACACCACCAAATCTCACACCAAATTATATGAGACTACCAGCAACAAGCAAAATGACTTATATGATCACATACTGCAGATATAAGCTTATATGGTTCAAGGAACAGAAAATGTACTGCTATTTGTCAGGATATCTGTAAAAAATAAGCCAGGCAACTGGACTTGCTGTATTTTTTTTGAAGACATTTCACTGGTCATCTAACCAGCTTTCTGAATTCAGAATTGAAAAAGCTGGTTAGATGACCAGTGAAACGTCTTCAAGAAAAATACAGCAAGTCCAGTTGCCTTGACTTATTTTTTACAGATATACCATGACCTGGATGAATGAGAACCTTCACAGACATATTTTTCAGGAAGAATTAAATACAAAATATAAATTTTTAGGGTACTAGGCACAATCAACTTTTCTGGATGTTCTCTGTAAGATAGTAAATCTTGGCTTTTTGAGTTCTGTTTTACTTTAAGGCCCAAGAGTATCATGAAGTTAAGTGTAACCATTAAGTATCTTGTTTATTATGTGGTTATTCGCTTGATATTAATGTGTCTATGTTGTTATTGCTTGATTTTATTGTGGCAATTTATTCGATTTGCCTGCCCCTGTCTAAGTGGAATATTTATTTTTCTTTTCAGGTTGTTGTATCAACAACAGTCAATGTGGACGGCCACGTGTTGGCTGTCTCAGACAACATGTTTGTACACAACAATTCCAAACATGGAAGGCGGGCACGCCGCCTTGACCCCTCAGAAGGTACGGCTCCATCTTATCTGGAAAATGGTAGGCATACATTTACATGTCCTTTTTTTCCTTTTTTTTTTTATACATCAAGCTTTATTTTGACTACACGATTACATCTATTTTGTCACCTCAGTTCATTGATAAACAGACAGATGGAGATGTCATCATTTTTAGCACACTGAAGATCCAAATTGAAGGGTAGAAAAAACAAAATGAAAAATCCTAACAGTCATTTTTATTCCATTTACTTTCAGCTCAAATAATTTTCAACCCGTTTCCCATTTTTTTCAAATCATTCAATTTAAAAAAAATAAAAATATATATATATATTTTTGTATGTTTTTCTTTTGGCTTCAGCTTTTTTTGCAGCTTCATTTAATTTGGCATTTTCTTTTGCTGGTCACAGAGAAGAGGTACATTCTTAATAAATGGCTGAGAAACACATGACCAAATCTCAAAGGAATTTGCAATGAGGTCAACTTCCTGTCACTGGGCCCTTGTACTGCAGATGGAAGAGTGTTTGTTAGGAGAAATCAACCAATTCTTTTTTCCTGTATCTTAATTAAATGGCATTAACTTTTTTAACACTTTTTGGATAATGTTTTGGTTAATCTTTTTATACATGTACATGAGCTGACTTTATATCCAGTATTATGAAGGATACATCATTTATAGTAAATCTGCAAAATCTGCAAAATTAATTATTGACAGCAAACATTTAGTAGAGTAAAAAAAGGTGCTGTCTGTTGTATGAATTTTCCAGCACGCTGAAAGATTTTTTGTGTTTCCATCCTGAAAAATTTGAAATTATGGTGGTCAGCCAAGCCACTGCGCAGACTAACTATTAAAAGAAAAATCTGCATCAGAATGATGTGAAATGTGTTTCTGGAAAATCGCACGATAATCACTGTTATGTGTAATATAATTTAGATATCAAAATAAGAGCGCAATTTACAATCTGCTGTGCTGCGCAAAAAAAAACTAATTTGTTTTTCTGCAATAATGACTAAGGCAAAAGAGAACAAAATATAATAATTAGAGGTTGCTCTGAGCACAAAAGTCATTATGGTCTATGACGTATTGTTTATCCCTTTCATATGTGCTGAAGGTAGGTGTATGTTTTGCCTAGCAACCAGCACTAATGAGGTTCACAATTAAGAAGGTTGGATCCTCTCCCCTAGTCGTCTCCTTCCCTAGAGAGATAAAACTGGCAACATTATAGGTTCAAGTAAAACAGCTCAAACCCATGATGCTAGGCATTGGGAGAGGTCCAAGCTCTGCCTCCCTCTAATGAGCTATTATAATCTTAGGAAAACACAAGTATTTATTTTTGTAAACTGTGTAAAAAAAAAAATCATCTGACTCTGAGCAGAAATTGATTTTTGTTTCTTTTGTAAAATAAAAGAACACTCATTTTTAATATCGCCACGTGTATCCTATAGAAAGTAAACACTGTTTCATCCCAAAGGACAACTGTGGATAGTTTAGTTTTTCTCACCACTGCAAAAGATGGGATATACGTAGAAAGCACAACAACCATGTGTTCTTTATATGAATGTTACATCCGTTTAGGCTGATTTGACCTTACATAGGTAAAAGTGAGGGCATACAAACATGCTTACATAGTGACAATGATCTGTATATTGAGAGATATTCAAGAAGCAATTCCAAGGCTAGAATTTGAGAATTTTTCTCAAATTCTCAATTTTCTTTTTCTCCAATATTTCTGCATTTTTTTTTTTGGTAGCCCTGAATTTATTTTTTTACTGCAATTTATAATATCAGCAAGAGTTGTGGCTTCTGAAAGCGATACTTTGTTCTGTTTTTAAAGCCAGTAAACCTATTTGGACAGCAGAAAAGTTTACAAAGCCAGTGCATTTCAGTAAAAGCGGACTTTAAAAATTTGTATAACACTTTTTGTTTTCTTGCAATTGTCTCCATGGTATTTAAGAGACTGTTTTAAAACAAAAATCTGAGTTGAAATCCCCAATGCATGCGTAAATGAAAGCTCTTTTTTTTTTCAACTAATGTTCAGTATATGTACCTGCATGCATCCCCTTCCTGCTAACACCTCATTATCCAATAATCTAATGTTCGCCAGCAGTACATATACACTCCAACCCAAATCATTTCCAAGTAGACTAATTCCCCCTGCTGCTTCAATGGACAGCTGCCATGGAAAATCTCCCGTCTTCACAATAGCATGGCAAATTATTGCAGTAGTAAAAATGAAGAACAGAAAAAAAAAAAGAGACCCTTCATTGGCATTGCAAAAGAGGTTATTTCACAATATTGTTGTTTTTTTTTTCTTGTCACTTTTTCCAGAAATGACTTGCTAAACTGTATAAACCTTAAGCAACTTGTATCGTGGCAGCACCAGGCCTGCAGCACAGAAGTGATTTGCATGCCAAGTACTTGTAATGCAGTTAGTTTTATGCAATAACGACAACTGAATCCAGGCTGCAGGGTTTTAGTGAGTTAAAGAGAACAGATGGCCCTAGCAGAGGTAAAAGGTATAATCCTATCAGCTGGAGTATCTGCCAGCCATCTGGACATCCTAAGCACAATTACAAGACATTTTAGCAGGCAGAACAAAGGAGTCTTCATGAGGCAAGATTAGGCCTGTTTGAGTGTCTCAATATTGTGAATTCAGAAAAAGGTGACAAATTCTGTGATATTACTCTTGAGACTCGGGATGATTAATCAAGACTATCCTGAAGATGTTTACTAATAAAATACTTGATTTGAAGAAAATAAAAAATCTATAAAAATATATTTATAATGTATTCTAGCGTTTATCGTGGAGCAGAAGAGAACAATATTCCATCTGCTTTTGCTAAATAAAGTAGTGCACAGGGAGTTGATGGGTGGTAACCGATAGTAACCAGATGCTAACGTTGGTCAGCCAACCATATCCTGATTAAGGCTGAACCAACCATCACCAAAAATCCAAGTTGAGCCACCAAACCAGACTTAATGTTGGGTTAGGGTAGCCTGATCTTAAGTGAACTTGGCTGAACTGCAAAATGTCGAAAGATACATTGTTTCTTGCATAAACTAGACATTTTGCAGAAGGGCCACAGGCAGATGCATTGTATTGTACTGTATGGATTCCCCATCCTGTCTGTATGATATCTGGGCATATCATTATTTATTTGGATTGTTCGGGTAGCCCCGTAGATATGCAGAACATGGTGCACACCATTACTCAGTAGACCATATGAATATGAGCGTTAAAGCAATAAATGGAGGCAGACCATAAGTATGGTGCCAGCAGACAAGTAATTGTTCTTGAAAGCAATCCTTAATTACCAACATTTCAAGGACTTGCATGATCCCAGTGAAAGTGTAGGCAAACTCATTCTTGCACCTTGATAAAACCATCCTCTGCATGCTACAGATGTTGAAAATAGTGGTGATGGGTTCAAAGATGATGGCTGAATTATTGGTGCACTGGAAAATGTTTGAAACTTTGGCATTACTATAAAGCTTGACTGATTGACAGTCTGAAATAGCTTTTCTTTGCCTGTAATCATCCCCTCCGCCCTGATTTCTGATTGGTTACTATGGGTTAATGCATTTCACTGCTCTTTATTTAATACATCCCTCAGTCATACTTGCTTTGCACTACTATGGCAGCATGTACAACAATGTGAATAAAATATTACAGATCTACTTGTTGAAGGTAATTAATGAGCATCAAACGAGCAGGCGACACCTACAGGATATCAAAGCTACTCCCTTCTTAATTAGCAAAAACACACCGGTAATAGTTAGGTGCTCTAGAATTTTAATGAGCTCTTGGTGGCATTCCCTGAAAGGGTCTCTGATCAGCCAGGGCTGTAGCTATCCATGTGTGTGAGTTGCATTTTTTCCCAACACCTAAAACACAGGCAAGAGATACAAATGTTTGCCTTTTGCTGCTGATTACTGCCCACTCTTTATCATCTGTTTGAGTTTATTGTGCCTGTATATCATTAAATCTCTCACTCTCACTCACTCACACTCACTCTCAGTCTGTGTAATTCATTTTGCTATGGTCTCCATTGAACACATGTTCCTTCTCTATATGTGCATTGAAATGTATGCAAATACAGGCAGGAGGAGGCTGGCATTAGGTCCACGCTCAGGCGGCTTCTGTGTTTCCCAGTCACAAGCTCTAGACATTCCTTGAAGATATGTGTTTTCACTGGGCCCCAGCTGCTAGATAGAAGAAGCTTCTTGTGCTTGCCATAGATCCGAAGAGAGGGCTTTTTTTTCACCCCCTTTTTCACTTCCAAAGTAAATTTGTTTACTGTAATTTTTTTTTGGGAGAATTATTTGCCATAATTGGCAGTGCTGATGAAGGTCATTCCCAGTGAGGAGACTTGTCAGTCTTTAGAGAGCTGATCCTTTTCAAATGCTCTCCATGCAATTAAGAAAAGCAAATGTCATTTGGAAGCCTCAGAAATGAAAATTTGTATGAACTTATTAGCATGAAGTCAACAAGCGCTAGTTAAGGGCAGGTTCTCAGTGTGTGCTCTGCTCCTCTGCTGCAGCGAGGGTATGCACGTGGAATGAGCAAATAGAACCTCCATTGGTCCAACGTCAAAGCAAACAAAGGAAGGTGGCTTGTCATGGGAAGCTATAAACAACAATGGCTAATGGTGATGAGCCACAGATACAGAAGGAACAGACCAACTTCTTGTCAGAACTCTGTGCACAGTTTTATGCACACATATAATTAAATCACATTAAAGCCTTTTTTTGCTATGAAAACATTAAGGATAATTTATTACACCAGTGGGCAGTAATCCATAGCAACCAATAATTGTTGTCTGCAGCCTAGGCTAAGTATTGATGTCCAAAAACTTATGCCATAAACACAATTGGTCATATCAAGTGCAGAAACATTTGGCACTGACCTTACATTGGGGGCAACAATTATTGTCCCGGAAAAATCAACCCAAATGATCAAATACCACCACCCCCCTATCAAAAATGGTCAGCTGGAGGGGCCTTTTACTATCTGTAGACATAATGATAGCTGTACATTTAGCTGAACTTGGCCTGATTGGTTAGACAGCATCTCCTTTATCTTTATATACCAACTTCTGAAAACCACTACTGATTGCATGGTATTAAATAGGTCCATTAGTTAACAAAAGACATCGAGTAACCAATTCTAAAAGTTTTGGCAGGTGCCAGGGCCGAAGGCAATTGGCCTGTGTTTTATGCAGAGGACAATGTGCAAAGTGTGCTAACTCAGAATAACCAATCGGAAATCTTTTTTGATGCTTTGATAGATCTTAACAGATAAAAATGGAGATTGATTATGTTGAAGTGGGTTTAAACTTTCTACACTTTGCAGTGTCTAATTAATGAGTTTGAAAGATTTGTGGGTTAAAATAAGTGGAATTTAAATGCAGCACAAAACATTTTCACCATATTAGCCTTACCTGTAGCCAAAGTGCTAACAACAGCCCATTCCCAGGGTACACACACAGCATCTGTCCCCAGGCTGAAAAGGTAGATGTTAGCAAGCTTGGCGTTCTCCAAAAGACACAACTATATGAAAGAAAACAAAAAGAGCATTTAGATTGTCTTGAGGACAATCAATAATACAACACTGTCAGACCAAACCCTGCAGGTGAGATATAGAGCGGCGGAATTCGCTGGTAATAGCGAAAGTGTATATCTTAGGATCTGCTTCTTTGCATGAAAGTCAGCATACAAAAGACCATCAAAGCTGGTAAAAAAGGTCTGTCAACACCGTGTAAAAGAATGGCTGATCAAAGTGGAGAACAAAGCAAGTCTCACAGAGACTGAGCAGCCTTCAGCCTGAGAAGAGTCACAGTTTTACTGGCTGCTGTGAGCCTGGAGTTACTAGAGCTTCGCTGCTGCCTGCCTGCTCCTCCACCATTGTAATAACTCATGCAAATGTGAACACTCCAGAGACAAAAAGAGGTCAAGTAAATGGCCCAGGGATTCATGTCGACAAACAATATTAGATGTAAAATGTGTACCTTTGACAGAAGTATTAATATAGAGCTTTTGATTTTTTTTTACCCCTCTATGCATGAAAACTGAAAACTAGTAATTATAGAGTGGCAGAGGAAAATTAAGTTTTTAACCAAAGGCAAAGATCGCTGATGGGAGGGGAAAAAAAAGGGGGGAAATAAAGAATGGCCAACCCAATTAGCTGCTTATGAAGAATCAAGATTTCGAACATTTGCTCTTCCATTTTCACTCAACAAGGCCGTGATTGACTGTGCTTAGATCTGTACAGTAAGGCAGATAAATCGCCATGCCACATGCACGCAGCGCTTAATCATTTGTAATAGCCATATTTGCTTTGACACGTAATTTGCCGTACTAAGCCATTTTTCTTGTTCGCTAGCAATCTACTTGGCCTTTGCTATATAAAACATGTAACGGTTTTCTTTAAATACATTTCCATGCTGATGTATGAGCGCTGTTTTATTTATTTTATGTAGCCAGAGTTCAGCAGAAACAAAAAGAAATCATGCATTTGATTTTTTCTTTTCTACATATTTTTCCAGCTATGATTTGTCATTTGGCATTGAGATTTAGTGTCGGAAATAAGAGGGGGGAAAAAAATAAGCGAAAGCTAATGTTCTATTTTTGTCTCCCTTTTTTTTCTCTGTTTTCTGTTTTTGTACAAGTAGCTACACCATGCATTAAAGCGATCAGCCCCAGCGAAGGTTGGACCACAGGAGGAGCCACGGTCATCATTATTGGAGATAACTTCTTTGATGGGTTACAAGTGGTATTTGGAACCATGTTGGTGTGGAGTGAGGTAAGCATTGAGAATCAGCTGGCTTTGAAATGTATGTAGTGTGTTCTCACCGACTCCCAACAAGCTGTCAATACTCAATTGACCTGCTCTATCAGGAGGATTTATTTCAAACTCTTTTTTTTTTAATCTTTGAATTCACAACGGGCTGTAGGGTTGGACAGTTGGAGAACAGAGCCAAGGAATGTCTGGGCCCCCTAGTGGAATGCAGCAATAGGCCTTTGAGCACAATTTGACCAATTAGTGTTTTTCCTTAAAAAATAACTACAGCAGGAGTTTGCAGCCATATGGAGACAATCTTCATATAAATTATGCCCTGTGGTCTTTCCTGCAAACCAAATTCAGGGATTACTTGCAGACATTTTTTCCCCATCAAACCTTTTACCAAAGTTTTGACAGCATTATGCTGGTGGTACCCATTACATTAGGTATATATTGTTATATTAATTGTATGTTGCCTTATATTGAACGTAATGACCTAGTTTATAGATGTGAACATTGTTAGAGTTTTTGGTTTTAATTTCACTTTCCTTGTGTAATATTTCCAGCTGATAACACCACACGCCATCAGAGTTCAAACCCCACCAAGACACATTCCTGGAGTTGTTGAAGTCACACTTTCCTACAAATCAAAGCAGTTCTGTAAAGGAGCTCCTGGACGATTTGTTTACACCGGTAAGTTTCCATTCAATTTGTATTGCCATAGATCAGGGCAGTGTTTGTAGTAAATATGAAATACAAGTTAGTTTAGTGTAAAAAGGTCATTAGTACTGTTTATGAATATGTCTATTTTCCATACCTAAACAGAAACATAGCACTGTATTTATATTTGCATCTTGTCTTTCTGTGGTATTGGCCTTATTAGGCTAAAGAAGGCTCAGCACTGATGTCCTTCAATGGGATCAGTGGACAGAAAATCAGTTGCATGTTTGAGAGGGTTGATAATGATCTTAGAAATATTGAATTCTGCTTAGCAATTGAAAAGTGCCCATAGATTTAAGAGGGCCATCAGATGTGCCACCACGACCTGAACACCCAGAGGCACCACTGTCTGCCAGGTGTTCCATAAGCATGAATGCTCAAGTTTCCCCTATCCCTCCGCAGAGGGAAGGAATGTCCAGACAGTGGCACTGCTGTTTATCTTCTGCTGGATCGGTGGCGATCAACAGATTTTTTACCTGAGAGATCCACTGTTCCCCCTCAAGATTGGTGGGCTTCTGGTGGATACGTGGACTGTCATGTGAAAACATTTACATATCAATACAAATATTACTAATTGCTCTTGCATATAGGCCAAGTTGTCCTTCGGGCTTACTTGTCCTTTAGTATCATGCAAAGGGCAGCACCTTGGGCTTACTGGTCCTATAGTATCATCATGCAGAGGGCAGCACCTTAGGCTTTCTGGTCCTTTAGTATCATCATGCAAAGGGCAGCACCTTAGGCTTACTGGCCCTTTAGTATCATCATGCAAAGGGCAGCACCCTGGGCTTACTGGTCCTTTAGTATCATCATGCAAAGGGCAGCACCTTAGGCTTACTGGCCCTTTAGTATCATCATGCAAAGGGCAGCATCTTGGGCTTACTGGTCCTTTAGTATCATAATGCAAAGGGCAGCACCTTAGGTTTACGGGTCCTTTGAAAAGGCACTATTGTTCTGTCACCAGCAAAACGTTCAGCATTTTAGTGGTTATGCTAATGAAAGGCAATAAAGGGATCGTTGCTTGTTGTTTGTTACTGTACATCATTGCGCTCCTGTTAAAGAAAGGCCATCGCTCCTCCACCTTGATATAAAAACGTCATATTATGGCAGATTCCATTGGAGCAATGTAGTCATTGGTTTTAAAGTGAAGGGAAGTTGCATCTGCATGTAGTAATATGTGTTCATGTAAGGGCTGTGACCTGTAATTTTCAGAATGGAAAGGATGATGTGAAAAGGGGAGGGTTGTTGTTTTGTGGGCATCTGGTTCCTATCAGAGTATATTGTGTTCCAGACTTCAGTAACATTTAACCTTCTCAGTATGAGCTGTAGCGTAGGGCAACAAGGCCTCTAGATAATGAAACAAGAGAGCAGTGTGATAACCAGGCGCTTTATAACATACTTAAATCTGAAGTGCTGGGTAAATAGAGGCAGAAATAAGGTCCTCTCTTTTTTATTTTCTTCGAGCTGCTTACAGTAACCAATACTGACGGTGCAGTTTTTTCATGCTAAGGGAGGACAATCCCAAGCTACCCGCTCTGCATTGCCTGCTCCTTTTCAACAATTATAAAGATACAATTACCTTGGGAGAATGTGGCAGTTCAGTTGATTAGCACGGTGAATTAAAAGAGTGAGTCACAAATGACATGTCCAGCTATTTTCCACCGGTCTTTTGTATTCCCAGCGCACCTCACCCCGTTGTAAGAAGGTCAAAAATTAGAGAGAGAGATAACAGTTTTCAAGCAGCTTGCACTTAAGGAAAGAATTAACAATCATTGTGTATGTAATTGCCAGTTAATGGTATATTGCCTTCTCTTTACACAGTGCACAGCCGGCAATATACTGGCACTAAGTAACATTTTATCAATCTGTCATTTTTTGTAATTTTTTTTTACATTACTTAACAGCATGGGGTGTATTTTATTCTTGGAAGGTGGAGACTTGCCTTACTGTAAATCTGTGTAATATAAAACTAATTCACACCATTTTTATTATTATTAGTAATATTATTGCTGTATTTAGATTATTTAGCAGCACAATTATTAGCGTGCAGTAACCCATGGCAATCAATCACGTTTCAGCTTCAAAGAACATGCCAATTGGTTGCTTTGTGCTAGTTGATATTGTACATCGCTCTTTGACATATTTAAGGGTACACTATAACCAGAATTTAAAATTAAGTAGCAAAATACATACAGGGAGCACAGTCCACCTGCAGAGTACTTCAGTTTTTCATTCAGATGTTGCTGAACTGAACCAGTGCAGCCCGTTCGTTTTCGCCAGTCATCTGATGATCCTGGAAAGTGCCTCCTGGTCATGCTTAAACACCCTTCTAATGATGCCCATACACTGGTCGAATTTCGATTGTTTTTTAATGTACTGGCTGTGTGGGGCTGTCGGCTCCCTTTCAGCCAGCATTCCTTGATCAGCTGATCAAATTTTTGATTGATCAGAGCCGGCAGCCAATGAGCTGTCCTGACGGTATTCTGACAGGTGCCGGCGGGATCCACGCGCGGTTTGTGTTGATGGAGGAATCTGGGTAATTTTTTTTCGTTCAGCCACAAGTTATCTGTTAGGTGTATGGCCAGCCTTACTGTGTCGCACACAAAAAGTCCTTCTGTAAAAATTTCAGGATTGAAAATGTGTTTTTACAGCCACCAATCAGATCCAAACCTGCCTTGGATTTTTAAAATGTTGTTAGGGAGGGAGGATGTTGCACAGCACCAAGCTCAGGAAGGAAGTACATTCCTGCTGCCCTGTGAGGTGGTCTGTGTGTGCTTTGTATGTAGTGGGTTAGAATTAAACCAGATTAAGGTAAATTGAATGAACATTGTACATGTAGCTCACTTGTTGCCTGAATAGTTTTTTAAATGTGTGCAAGCTGGTCATAAATAGGCAGAATTTTTATCAGTTGCTAGGGAAGATTTGAAACCCTCTTGTGCTCCATTCACACAAGAATATTTTACACAGTATTTTCATTAGTGGCCTTCCAGGTTACTATAGATCCCTAAAAGATGACATCTGGCTGCCAATGGTTATTCAACCTTGCACATACTAATTACACTCGGCTCTGAGTGCCTGGTGCATGTTGTGACCCATGACAGCCATTAGGTTGAAGAAAGCAGGTCCTTGGTTGCTATAGGTTACTGCACACCAAGGATAAATATATACTTTTGGCACTGTTTTGGCAGAGCTGATCATATAATACCAGGCAACAATGTAAATTACATAAGCATTTTGTTGGTTCCTAAAGTATTAATTGAGAGCTTATTGGCCAAATTAAACATATTTATAGAGTCTATGCCAGCTATCACTAAAAATGCAAGCAAATGAAGGTGGCTGTGTTGCCTGTAGAGACTAGTATCAGCTTTTATTCCCTAAACTGCAATGGAACATGGCTACTGGTTGCTATGAGCAACATGAGGACTACGGATCTTCTGTAGCCCCCAGAGTTGCTTCCTCTTACTATTAGTCGTGTGAACAATAGTGTCAGAGACAAAAAAAAACAGCTGATTCTGAAGATGACCTGAGTTTCTCCTCACCACATCTGCCATCATATAACTCTACATGAAAGGGTATAATTCTTCAGGCAGCTGTCAGCCCCCCTAGTCAATCTTTAGTCCTAATCCAATTATATCTGTAGTCTCTTTCTGTGGTAATGATAGAGCCCTCAAAGGACAGCTTCCTACAAGCAGCAAGCCAGATTAGCACGCCTAAAAACTGTAATTGTCTAATATATCGCCGGGGTCCTGAATCCGATTATTACCTGCTGCAAGAATTAGACTTCGCCCAACCATAGTCCTAAAAGGGCGATTTCCAGGCTTGTGGGTGATTCATTGATCTTGCAGAGAGTTTCATACAAACTTTTTTCCTTTTAAACCCCAAAGATTTTTTTTTTGTGTTACAAAATTGTATATTTCATGAGACAGTTCCAGGTAATGTCAGAATATATATATCTCTCTCTATATATGTATAGAGAGATATATATATATATATATAATTTCTTGAAGACGTTTCACTGGTCATCCAACCAGGTTTCTCAAGTCATTTTGAATTGAGAAAGCCGGTTGGATGACCAGTGAAACGTCTTCAAGAAAAATACAGCAAGTCCAGTTGCCTTGACTTATTTTTTACAGATATACCATGACCTGGATGAATGACAACCTTCACAGACATACCAGGGGCTTGAAAGTTCAGTTGAGAGCTAAAATCATATACACAAACGATCCGCACTATATAAAGATAGATTCCTGTGGGATTCTCAACAGCTTAAAAATTCAGAATTGGTGCCAGCTGGCCAATACCCCACCAAAACATTTTAAAAAAAAGTTTTAATTCTGTTTTAAATCTCTTAAAATATTATAAAATTAAAAACAAAAATTAACAAAAATTAAACCAGAATAATTTTTTCCATATAAAAACAATTATTTGCACCCTAGAAACACTAGTTTCACAGTGTTGTAGGGTGCAAATAATTGTTTAAATATGGAAAAAACAATAATTGTTGTTAATTTTGTAAAATTTTAGTGTTTTGAAAGAGATTTAATAAAGATTTTGAACTTTAAAAAAAAAAAACCTAATGGGTTACTGGCCTGTTGGCACCAATCCTAAATGTATATGATAATGAACTGAAATAAGCACACTGGCAACCTTGACAGTTGGCATGCATTAAAAGTAGCTGTTTTGGGAGACATGAAATTGGTGGGTCTAGTTCCTCTTTAAGAAATATGCAACAATGCAGCATGGTCGGTTAACAACCATTCAAACTGATTTCTGATTGGTTGTTACGAGCTCTGACCAATCACTGCTATCTGCGTGACAATAATTCCGCACAAGATCAAGGATGATGCACAAAATGTAGTAACCCATAGCAGCCATTCCGTTTCAGTTACTGTAAGCAAAAAAGTGAATTCTGATTGGTTGCTGTGCTTTACATGTTGCTCCTTTCTTATATTTTATGTAAAAATTCCAGTGTATTT